CGTTTTACCTTACGTTGTAGTTGTAGTAAGTAACGTAAAGTAAACGTAAAGGTAACGGTACGGTACGGTAGTAGTTAGTTAGTTAGTAGTATATACTTACTTACTATATATATATATATATATATATATATATAGAGAGAGAGAGAGAGAGAGAGAGAGATTTCATGCAATTGTCATAGTAATTTAATGAAATGTACCTCCAAAATCATGTTAGGGGCATTTGTTGAACCCTAATTTACATTTATTGAGAGCTAAAGAGTAAACAATCCAGTCCCAACACATGCAAGACAATGTTGCATATTCCGGGCAAATATGGTGAGAACAACGATAGGAAAACAGAGCATATTCTCAGTGAGACAGAGAGAAATTGTCCTAGAGTTTCCGCACATGAAATACTTAATAACAAAGAAGAAGGGTAGTTTCAAGCAAGAACAAGAAAGATGACAGTGATGAGTGATTTTTCACCTTGAGATTTTCCAAATATACTCACTGAAAGTAATTTCCTTTTGATGAAGAAAATCTTGCCTCCTGGTGATATGTCTATAGGCAAATGTATGTACTTTTTCATGTTCTGAATCACATCGTTTCCCATCCATCATGTCAAGTCCTCATACTCAAACATTGCTTCATTACACAGTCAAGTTCATGGCAATTGAGTATAGATTTCCCTTCTAGGACAGGTTACTGAGAAACTATTTGAAGTCCACAAATTCGGAACAAGTATACAAAATATTATTCACTCTCACCAATGACAGTGCCATGACTTTTATTTATTTCAAATAAATAATACCACTAGTGGACAATGGTGAAATACTTTACAACTCAATATATTTTTGTCGAACAATCATTGCATCCTCGATCGAATTCCCACAGGGCTAATACCAGGAGATACCAAGGTTGTAACATCATCAATCACAGCAAAAGGGGAAATTTTGTAAGGTATTGTTATATCAAAGAAATAAAAGGTATATACATTATACAAAGTGTAGCCATGTTACTCTTCCCAAGAAAAGCCTTATTTAGTTTTCAATAAAAATACTCCCAGCCACTTCAGGCAAATTAGTATCAACCATAAGCATATGGAGAACATTGAAATGACTGCAGGTATATACATTATACAAAGTGTAGCCATGTTACTCTTCCCAAGAAAAGGCTTATTTAGTTTTCCATAAAAATACTCCCAGCCACTTCAGGCAAATTAGTATCAACCATGAGCATATGGAGAACATTGAAATGACTACAGCCTTTTGTCTAACGTATGAATATCTGGTGATATGCTACCATTTCCAAAGATATTTAAATAGTCAGCTATTAAACTTTAACTCTGCAAAGTCTCTGTGAGATTATTCTAGGAATCCTTTTGTCATTGTGATGGAGGTTTTTTTTTTTTTAAGAGTGATTTTAGACTGACTTGAATTGTTCATTGCCATAGGTTCAACATGGAATGTCAAAACCAGTACGTCAGGCACGTCGTTGCTGGTCTGTCAGATGATCACCACTGGTGGATTCAGCACATATTCCATTATACATGTTAAGGGTCACATTGGACTAGGCCCAAATAGCAGTATTTTTGCAATATGAGGTCTGCTAGACTGTTAGAAAGTGCACCCAACCTTCCTTCAATTGTGGGGTGTTTGGCTTGCCCCAGAGACATGTCTTCTAGCACACAAGAGCAGGAACTTTCATAAACCACTAGGAATTAGGAAAAACCAAATTTCAAGAGACCCACATTTTCTGCTTTTCTTCTCTTAATCATTCTCTAGTCTCTACAGAAAAGAGAAACAAAACAAAAATAAGGCGTCCATCCCCATCTTTAGTAAAACTAGTTTGAGTGAGTCTCCCACACCATTGGGTGATTCACAGGTATGGCAGAATGAGACTGAAGCCAAACTGCAAATATTGAAAGTCACCTTCGTGAGATCTGCCATCCTCCATAGTTAAGAAGTATCACCTCAAGCCCATTCGATATTGAAGATGACCCCTTCCACTATTAGCGGGCACGTAAAAGTTGGAAGCAACACTCAAAACCTAGTTAGAGGAGCGCTAGCTTTGGCAGAAGTCCCATGAAGACAATCTGGGGAGTCCATAAGCAATCTGTGATTGCACCATCTCTGCCAGAATGACCAAGTTTGCAATCTCTCCACAGTTGAACTTCAGGGATCCATTTGAGGAACAACACCAGGAAGCGTGAAGAGAGGTTTGGAGGGTAATATTAATGAATGCCATCTTCCGACCTTGCACATGATCTCCAACAGTAAATCCACTGAATTCCGTATGAGCTGTAGACCAAGAGGTCACCAAATCTCTCTGTCACTGACAATGATAGCTTTGGAATAGCTTCCCTCGAAGACCCCAAAATATGGCAAGAACAGTTAGACACCACAAAGTCTGACCTTACCGACAAAATCGGCTCCAACTCTAGCACCCCATTGGGCTGGCTACAAAAGCAGAAACAACCATTTCGCACCAGCGGTCAGCAGGAATTGGGACTCAGCCTGTTTCTGGGTTGAGTCAAGTTGGACAGACCGCAAAGATTCAGTAGGACTTATCCAGTCTTTCCAAAAGAAGAAAAAAAACTCATGACACTCAACTGAGTCTTGAAACTTGGAGTCCCAGGAGAATTGATTTGGGCTACTTCCCAAGGTGAATCAACTTGATAAGTTCCAAGTTAACTTCCTGAGTTTTAAACAGTGTGAAGTACATGATTCCCTTTTGCTGGAGAAGTTTGTTTGAGAGAAACTTATCAAGACTCCATGCAGGCCATAGAGGCCTTCTTGATGTAATGGACTGCAGCAGAGCCTCATCTTGGGCCTGAAAATCCCTGGGATGGTATCTAATTGAGAAGGAAGTTACCCAAGAAACCTTGTTTACAAACATAACCCAAGATCCCTTATGTCTAATTGCTTGCCTTTGTCTTCCCATTTGACCAAGTGGGATTTGTGCGTTTCATTATTTTCATGCCACAAGATCTAGAGGTTTTGGAAGAAGCCTTGTTTACAAACGTAACCCAAGATCCCCTATGTCTAATTGCTTGCCTTTGTCTTCGCATTTGACCAAGTGGGATATGTGGGTTTCATTGTTTTCATGCCACAAGATCTATAGGTTTTATGTATTCCAAACCTTCTTCCAACTCCACACATAATAAACAAACTTAGGCATGGAATGAAAATGGCAAGTTCAACAAGTCAGAAGTAAACAATGTAGTCAGGTATAATGGTATTTGTAGAACTACTAGGTGCACAGGAAAGCGGGCTTCTCAAAAGCAGAGTAGGGTTCTGAGAGTATTCGTGATTTCGAAGGGAAGCACAAGCCCATTGACTGCACTAACATTTCTTTCTCAATATTTCTCTGGGCCTCTAGGTGATTCATTAAATGTCACTTGATCAGGAAAGAGATGATACCTTAAAATATCATAGATGTTATGGAGGAAATCGACAAGAAAAGTGAACCATTATGTGTATCTAAGAATGCCCATAAGGATGCCATCTCATTGACCAGAGAGAGGATTGATAGAAGAGAATGAGCAGATTCCATCCCTCTCTCCAAAACTTGTATTAGTAGAAAAATTTGTAAATTTTAATACTATTAAATCTTTTACATTATTGTAGTTGTATTTCATTGGGAAGTTAACAATACAAAAGATGTGGAAACACAAACCAGAAATAATGGGGAAATGCTTAAAAAATACACGAAAAAAATCTTTCCCACAGCTAAAAATGTAAGGTAAACTTAGAAAAGCACGAAGGGTACAGAGGAAAGTTCAATGAGAAACTGAGAGCATAAAGCAAAAACTTAGAGGAAACATAAAACGAGGAACAAAATTGCCTCCAATCAAACCAACAAACAAACTCATAAAGCTCAATGAAATTTTAAGCTAGTCTAAAGATTCAATACCTACCAACATTTTGAATGGTTTGCATCTGTATAAAGTAGAATAGGACGATTGAAGGATCATTTCCATGTGAGCAAACTGTGATTTAAATGAAACCCTTTGCAAACATTTAGATAAGGCTTAAAATGAACATAATAACTAGATCTTACCTATTCTTTCTATATCATTCATAATGATCCAAGGGGTTTCCACAGAAAAACTATATGAAAGAAATGAACAATGAAGCATCTCACCCGAAACTAAAGAAAATCAACCACTGAATAAATAGTCTCTAGCCAGAGAAGATACGTTGAGGTCCTGCATACAAGAATCGGAAGAAAAAGCCACACAAGGAAAGATAAAAAAGAAGGCTAGGCAAAAAAGCGAACTGTAAGTTGAAGTATCTCAGTCAAAAAAACACATATAGAAATATTATGAAACTGAATAAAAAAAATCAGTAACTGTGATATTTCCAATCAACTTTTGCAATTGAGGCAGAAATCCAGAAAAAATAAAGAAAAAAACTTTGGATAACATGAACAAATCAATTGGTGAAAGAGAAAATATTATGAAAAAAGAATTAGTAATGGAGATTACAAGAAAAGAAGAGAAATAAAAAGTAAAACAAAAAAATAAAAATAAAAATAGCCAACATGTAAAGAACAGAAAAAATCCACAGAGAAAAAACAAAAAAAGTAAACAACATACTAGACCCCACAGAAAGCGAGAGAGAGGAGAGAAGTAGGGAGGTACCGCTGAAAGAGAGAGAGAGACATTTATTGCAACACAACGAGGAGAACGAGAAAAAGCCGTTATACTGCATGTATTTCTTTAACTGTTGATGTACTCTCTGGATTGAACCTTCAACCGAGATCAGCTCTTGATCCAAGTCCAATCTCTCTAATGGGAGCTTTCTTACAAATGTAAAACATTTTAAAAAAGAAAAGGTTGTCAAAGAAACAGGAATGGAAATCTCACTGGCTTGAATCCTCCCACTGAGCTCCCCACCTTTTCGCTATCCAATCATACGTATCCTCCTTTCCTGCCTTCACAAAAGCATTTCTTAGTTTCCTCATTGTTGAGGTATTTACTTTGATCTTTTTGTCAAGTATATTCCCCATGAACCTCTTAACCTCTGATAGCCTATCGTAATCTCTAAGCCCCACAAGCAATACGTTTGCACTCTCTTCCATTGGGTGTATCTCATTCTCAAAAACACATTCCCAAATCTCGATTGCCATTTCTGGGTCATCTTCCTCAAAGAACATTTTAATGGCAAAAGTGCATTTTTGCGGGTCGGGGTAAAATTCATTTTTCACCATCTCATGAAAGAAATTAGTGGCCTCTCTTACTTTCTTATTCTTGACCAGGCAATGAAAAATAAGATTGTAAGTTTGAGAATTCGGGAAAGCTCCATCATAGACCATCTCATCGAGGTACTTATAAGCCGGGTCGACCATATTGTTATTGCTAAGCAACTCTATAATGGCATTATACATAACTAAATTGGGGAGTACTCCATTACTAACCATGATTTCCCAAAGCAAACAAGCATCACTGGGATTATTTTGCTTGATCAGAATATCAATGGTGTTCTCAAAAAACTTCATACCTGGTAAACACTTCCTGTCCTTCATCACCTTGAGAAACTTTAGGGCCTCTTGAACTTCTGAACCCTTGACCAGAGTAGTCAAGAAGGCATCATAAGCTGACATGTTCTTCGAATCCCAACCGCGCCTAATTATCATCTCCCCAAAAGTGTGTCGGGCCTTGACCACATTGCCCTCTTTCTCCCAACCCTCTAATAAAATAGCAAAGCTATCAGCATCTGGCACTATCTTCTCCTTCGCTTTGTCGTAGAACTCCAAAGCTTTCGCCGTCTCATTGTCCCTACAAATAGCACTTAGCAGAGAATTTAGAGCAGCAACATCTTGTGGGCACCCATATCGGTCCATTATGTCAAAGGCCATGATCGCTTCGCTGCATTTATCAGCTTTAACATAGCTGCTGAATATGGAGGCAAATGTAGCTAAAGATAGCAGGTCCTCTTGCTTCATGGACCTAACGGCATCCCACATTGCCTCAAAAAGTCGATTCTTTCCAAGAAGATCGACCAATAGGTTCCAGGCATACGGCGTTGGCTTCGCTTGAAAACCAGACCATCGGAAAAACTTCACACAAGCAGTGGGAGCAGCATAAGAGAGGCGGAGAACGGATTCGATATCTTCAGAATTCACTTGAATTCCGGAATTCGACAGAGCGATTTCAACCTCTCCAACAGAGCATTTGACAAGGATTTCACAGAGAGTTTTGATTTTCAGGTGGATATTTGGGCTGCTCAAGTAAGAAGGGAAAGCAGGGGGTGGTCGGAGAGTTGGGGGCGTAGGAACAGTGGATGAGGCAGGCTTGGTTGGTATAGAAGGGATTGTAACTGGCTTTTGAGAGGAAGCAGCCATGGCTGAATGGGGAAAACCTAAATGGGAGTCACTAGAAGTAGGTCTAGTTCAATGCTGAGTATGAGTGGTTATGTATTCACCAGTTTTCCCATTATTGCATCAAAAAGCTCTAAATCCTCAAAATTATCAACCAATCCCTAAATTTCTCTCATAAATTGAAAGTACATACCAGGGAAACATGTATTAGATCCAAGACTATATACTGAAAACCCTCATCCCCATCTTTTTGCCTCAGAAATTTGAAGAAATAGACGCCACAAGACAAAGAAGATGTGTCAAAGCCCTAGAGAAAAATGAATCAGAATGCAAACAAAAATGAAATTCAATAAACCAATAGCAGAACAATGAATTGGAAACCCAAAAATTGTTCGAATTTTGCACAAATTGAATTTTAATGGATAGATAACGTGTCAAAAACCTAAAAGAGGAGCCAAATGCCCGTCAACACAAAACCCTAAACAGGGAATTCGGGGTTACAGTAGGAACTGAAGAGATTGATCGTTGGCTAAATGGTAAACTTAGAAGCCTAAAACATTATTGACTGTAATTTAAATACTCAAGTCTCTGAAACCCCCAGTGAACTTTGCGAACCAAAATCTTTATAAAGTTTAGAAAATTTCTTAAAATCAATAGAAATGGAATATAGCCGTGAAAATTACAAAACAGTCAATGTAAAACCCTATAATTAAAGGGAAAAGTTCATATAGTGCCGAGGCTCTATATGAGCCGATCTAAAAAATTTAACTAGAAGAAGTTGTTTTGATGCTCAAATATCTTCAAATTGATCATCTTGACATCAAGAAACATGGATATGAGAAAAAAATAGATTTCAAGTTTTGAAAATAGTGTATTTTGTATTGTATTTTTGTATAGTCAATTTTTAAGATTTTCAAGTTTTTGTAGGTATGTGGATCTACACTATTTTTGAAGCTTTAAACTTTGTAAATAAATATAAAACTATATTTTAAAGCTATCACAAAGATTTCCAATATTGAAACCGTATTTCTCCATACTATTTGAAGGTATGCTCTAATTAGATCGTTTAGAGCCTATGCTCTAATTAATCGTTTAGAGCCTAGGCTCTATACAAACTGCACCCATAATGCTCTAATTAGATCGTTTAAAGGGTGTAGTTTGTATAGAGCCGTGGGTCTAAACAAATAGGAAAGCGCACCTTCAAATAATGTTGAGAAATGTGGTTTGCAAAAATAATTGTGATAGCTTTAAAATATATATTTATCTTTATTTATAAAATTTAAATATTCAAAAATAATGTCGATTAGGCTGGTCTAAAAAAATTTGAAAATATTGAAAATTGACTGTCCAAAAATGTTTTGCAAGATGCATTATCTGCAAAACTTGAAATTCATTTTTTTTTCTTATGCCCATGCATGCATCTTGATATCCAAATGATGAAATTAAACATATTTGGCATAAAAAACAACCTCTTCTAGTCCATTTGATTTGTTTGACAACACCAAACCAGCTTGGTTTGAAAACGTTGGATTGCGAATTCAACCATGGAAGTTATCAGAATATCGTAATTGCTAACAACTTCATGTTAGAGAGGAGTAGAGAGTGAGAGAGTAGCCGTTGGAGACAGATTGTACCTTTCTTTCCCTAATTCAACTTTAAAGATGGGTTAGATTTTATTATTGTTGTTTAAGACGGATCTCAGACAAGGTCTAAAATACATTTGCTTTAAATGTGTGACCAGTGTAGAAAAAATTAGGCGGTTCAAATCGTAACGGCCTCGTTCGATTTTAGCCAGTTTTGGTGAATCAGGTGGGTATTTTAAAAAAATTCAAAAATATATATATAAAATATTAAAGAATAAGGGATTTTGATTGTAATGCATTCTTTAATGATTTTCATCATTTTGACAAAGATTGTAAATTGTTTTAGTCATTAATACTTATTTTTACATTTTTCTGTCTTTTTTTAAAAAAATTAAAAATACCTATCGGTACAAATAGATTCATTAAAATCTATTTTTCATTAATTTTCAATTTCATTTGGATGTGCCTTGTCTAATCATGCTATAAATATATTTTTTATATTTTATTGGATTCTTTTGTATTTTTTTTTTAATACTTTGTTTTTACTACTCAAGACTTGACCGGTTAGGCCCCAATTTACTAGTTAATACTGAGTAACCGCTTCCTGCCCCATGTTTGGTAACCATTCCGGTTCAATTTTTTCTACACTAATTGTGACATACTTTAATCTATTGGATTTCGTATCCAATGGTTAAAAGTGATTATGACCTACCTGTAAAAAAATAAATACTTTTATAGTTTTCAATCTACTTTTTAAAACTTTAAGAGAATAACGTTAAGAAATGAAAAAACACAAGTAAAGAAGGGAAAAAGAAAAGAAAAGGAAGTTATCATAGAGGAAAGAAAGAAACTAACAGGGGCTAGGTGAAGCATAACCTACCCTCATCTAAAGAAGCGTGCCTCTTTTGGCCAAGGTATCATCTTGGTGATTATGTTCCTTATTAATATGATTGATGACTTTGCTCATTGTTATATAAATGTTTTATTGGTTATATTATTGGGAAAGGAAAAAGAAAAGATGACCCTTCAGAAAATTGATCGTTGTGAACTACAATCAATATGTTTTACCTTTAAAGATCATAATCAACTCATCACCGCACAACACTTTAATTTTTTGTGACAATTAATAGCAAGGTTTAAAAAAACAAATTGGTGACCTAGATCAACCAACCCAAAAACTATATCGGATCCTATTGTGATTGGAGAATCGGCCAATTCAGCTGATCTGAGAAAAAAAAAATTCAAAAAATAACTATAATTTCTTAAAAATCTAGTTTTTAGGTTTCTAAAGAAAATAGTGGTAATTGTATTGTGGTTGTTCATTATCGTATCAAAAGTGTGTAAATACTGAGAATTTGTCTTTTATTAAGTGTTTGTTGACTATTAAGTTCATTTTATAGTCAAAATAAAATTTAAAATACAATTCATGACAATAAAATGAATCTCTAGCACTTTTTTGTTTTTTTTTTACATCAACCTAAGAGTTTTGACTTTTAAAAGTAGTGGGGCTTGACCTCTCGTCGTCTCGAGTCAGCCCAATATGGGTGACTCATTCGGATGAATCATCTCTCGAACAACCACGAGCCCACGTGTATCGGTGAACCAACAAAGAGAGAAATTTTAATCAACAAAGAAGGGTTCGAGAACCTACCTCGTCGTTTGGATTCAAGGGAAGCGTCTGAGCGATTCACCCTCTTAGATCATTTCAAAAGCCCTCTGATTGTCATTGCAACGCGATTTGAAGTCAGCTCCCTCACTTTACTACACAACATTCAGATCCACCCACTAAAAATGGCCTCAGTGTATACCTTTTTGGGACCTTCTCCTATTGGTAATTATATGGTAGATTGTGAAATCTAGCCTAGGGGTTAGAGAAATAGAGAAGAAGAAGAAAAGATAGAGAAGAAAGAGAAGAATAAGAGTGAATTAATGGGGAGTTTAGTGTAGAGAAAAGAAGACGAAGATGAAATGGAAGAAGAGAAAGAGGATGACCGGAGAATTGAGCAGCTTCCAGGTGTAACCTCTCCTAATAGGTGTTATCGGAGACAAGGGAAAGCACCAAGCTCAAAGCCTTGGTACCCGAAAGATTTGTAAAGTGGAGTTACAATACTGAGTCTATAACTATGTCACTAACCCAAAGAGCCCCCTAAAAGTGATTCAGTGAGGGAAGAGAAGAGAGTGAGAGCAAAAGAGATGAAAAATCTCTCACAGCTTAAACACTGCATGACCCAGTGGTTAGAGTAGCGTAAGGGTTAGAACTCTAAGAAAAGCTAGCTCAGGATGACCTCAACTTGAGTGATCGAGTGCAAGACGATTTATGTCTCTTATGACTCAACGACACTGTACAAGCTGATGGTTAAGAGAGAGAATGAATAATCAGTGAAACAAAAACAAAATAAAATGAGTGAGAAGTCAAAATATGATTTAAAGAGAGAGGGGAAATGTTCAAAGTGAGAGAGAAATGAGATAAAAGGCGTAAAAGAAGATGGACCCGCCTATGGTGCAAGTTCGTATATCTCAAGGTGTGTAGAGAAGGTAAGAAGGAAAGTGATGGACCTGCTTTAGGTGTGGGTCTGAGCTCAGCAGGATAAGAGGGGGTGAGGGAGGATGAGAGAATAAGAGATGGAGGGTTGGACCCACCTATGGTGTGGGTCAGGGCCTCGGGTGAGATATAAGAGTAAGAGATAATAGAAGAGAATGGAAGAGAGAATTGGACCGACCTATGGTGCAAGTTCGGGCATTGGGGTGAGATTAGAGAGTGATAGAGGAAGAGAGAGAAGGCTAGACCTGCCTTAGGTGCAAGTCTAAACTTTTAGATGAGGTGGGGAATTAGAGAAGGACAAAAGAGAGGAAAGAAAGTATTGGACCCGCCTATCGTGCAGGTATGGGCTTTGGACGAGGTAATAGAGTGAGAAAGAATGGAAGGGAAAGAGAGCTGAATCCGTTCTATTGTACGGGTCCGAGACTCTAGACGAGAGAGAGGGTGAGAGAGGAAGGGAAAAGAAGGGAAAGAGAGCTGGACCTGCTCTATGGTGTAGGTCCGGGACTCCGAACAGAGATAGAGGGGAAAGAGAGCTGGACCCATTCTATGGTGCGTGTCCGGGATTTTGGACAGATAAGGAAGGTACAAGAATAGGGGCAGATAGGGAAGGTGCAAGAATAGGGGCGAATAGGCAAGGTACAGGAATAGGGAAGAGGGGGTGGAGAGAGATGAGAGAAAGAGAGAGGGAAGGAAGCCGAGTCTGCCCTAAGTGTGAGTTTAGACTTGTGAGAGAGAGAGAGAGGAGTGAAGAGAGTAAAAGGAGAGTGAGAAGAGAAAAGAAGCAAGAGAAAGAAGAGAGAAGAAAGAGAAAAAACATTTATTCCCATGTAATTTACTACATCCCTAAGAATTAAAAAAAAAATCTCTTTTGTTGGACAAAAAAAAGAGAGAAAAAAAAAATTCATTTCTTCTCTTGTAATTTACCAACCCCCTATGAATTTATTTTTTTAAAAAAAATATTTGGCTAAAAGAAAAATTTTCTTCGTTTCAAAAAAATAAAATAAAATTAAGACCTCTTTGTCGGAGCACCCCCATATCAAAGGAATCCATCTGATGATGAGCACGTTCTAAAGCAACCCCATCAAACTACTCAACATCTCCTCTCATGAAGAGGGCACATCAGGGCAGTTAATGAGATTGAGTCATTGTTTCTTAAGTCCCAACATGCCATAAGGTCATTTAATTTTAACTCAGTTACATGTCTTGTACGAAAGTTTCACCCGAGCTTAAGCACTAAGAATGAGCCTACTACGGAATTAATTCTTGAAAAGAAACACAAAATCTAGAATGAGAGAGACATTCGAAAAGGAGTTGGATGATCACTCAACCCGTGCAAATAACCAAACGGGGCATTCACGCCTCATACTTCCAAAGGCATTAACGCTTAATGAGTAACATAAATTATCTGGTTAACGGGGAAAACCTAATGAGCACGTCTGTCCAAGCAAACGATTGAGGGATTAGGAAACTGAGAGTGCTTCTTAGTCTGAAAATCAAAGTTCAAGTAGAGCAGTTCAAAAGAAAAGTTCAACGAAAATTCAAC